AGAGCACAACTACCAACAACTGGCATTGCGCGAGATATTGTGTAGTGTAGTTCAATTCTCTCAGGATTAGGCGATATGAGTGGATGGGGCATGCACTTGACAGTGCTAATTGTATATTGGAGTGGGCGTTAAGAACAATAGAGGGAGTGCTAGGCAATTGGGCTGGGGGGTGCTACAAGTCGATTATTGTGAAGGGGGGATACTTAAGGGCTGTGGTGGTGTAGGGGTTGCAGTCGCTGCTATCCTGGCGATCTTCATACACTATAAGCTAGTCATGATGTCGTGAATGGTGGCTCTAACCTCGTAGAATGGTGGTTGTGTGCTTTCACATGTAGATAAGCTACACGCACAATCGTTGTGGAAGGGACAGGAGGCCGTGGGGGGTTATAAGCGATGTAGGGGTTGCAATCGATACAGCTGTAGCGATATAGATCACTATGAGCAAGCCGCACATAGTGGCTGAATCCTGTACTTTTAGGTGATTCCCCGCCACGGTGACCCAAATAGCTAGTTAGCACAAACTTGTACATGTACATGCATAACTACCAGTAGTCGTTGAGCCCGTCAACTGGTTATTCACACCAAATCGCATTGCACACATGTAAACACGCAAGGGAGCATCATAAATCATACGTTGGATTGCCATCTCAATGCGACTGCTTGCATGGTTGAGGACTCTGGTTGAACGCTTAGCCTTGGTTTACTCTGTAGTGGAGTCGCTCGCCATTGGTGCGAGCGACAACGACGGGCAATTCACCAGTATATCATCTCCTCTCGTTATCACTATGCTAGTTGTCAGTTAAGGTACCTCCAAAGCACAGCAAACAGCCACGAAGGAGCATGACCTCCGCGCAAACTTCTCTGCAATTTTTGATTTCCAGGTATAATTGGTTTTGATTGGATACGTGGATTTATTTATAGCCAATCACAGTCTTCCAATAACTTCACTATGAAATTTGCCCGTCAAGAACCGAACTTGGACGTGCTGGGTGTCCTAGCCGCCCAATGCCTTCCGTTGGAGTCGCAAACGAGGAATATCCTTTCAGCACCGTACGATGTAATTGCAAGTTCAAGATATCATGTATAAACAGCTCCAAATAAGACCCAGGCAGGATCAATTGGAAGGGCACTCAACTATGGGAGCGTGTAGTGTAGGCTGACTGTCACAAAAGCGCTGCTGCGGGAGGCTAGTGGCGTGAAGTACACTATGCACGTTTACTTCGAGTCACCAGGCTCCCGTTGCCGCGTCTTATGGCGCTATCTCTTATCCACGCGCTCGCTGCAGGACCCCAGCCATTCATCGTGTTATTTAGGGTATTTTGTAGGATTCCTCAAACGTGGCGTTGTGCGACAATTCTCCGGATATTGTCCAAGAGGTACAGTACTGTAGTGTACCGATCAGTGTGCTTTTGAAAAGTCACCCTAACCACTCTCACTACTTGACTTTTTCGACAGGCTTTTTGGCCAAAATATGCTGTCTGAAAAAGTGGTCTGGAGCAATATAAGTGGGACAGAGGGAGTACTACACTTATGGGATGTGACGTGGCGACCTTGGTGTGATACAGAATGAAGCGTTCGCCGGCGCCATGCGCAATCACCCTCCACCGGCATATCCACATCGTTTCAACTAGCAAGCACGTGTGCTCCATACCTTGTGCGATTCGACTTCGATTGCAATACAGTTGGAATCCTTCGGCTGCAGCAGGCATTCTTAAATACGTATAAAGAAGCGTCTCCACCATGCCCCATGCGACCGAAATCGATTTTCTGAACCACATCAAATTCCTGAACGCTTTTATTATCTACCAAATAGATAGCTTAACAGTAAATAAAATATCATGCGTGTGATTGGATATGATCATAATCAAGTCTTGTTAAAAGCGAAAATACTTCGAAGTATTGATTTCCTAGTATTACTGTAGTATTGATTATAATTATATAGAAAGTTCGAAGTATTGATTATTGATTTTAATTCTATAGAAAGTTTGGATTTAAATATTCAACACGATTTTTATCTCAAACTTCGTTGTGTTGCTATTATTGCACTGTCCGGACATTTCACGTTCGACCACTGTCAGTGGCGGAGAAATGGCCCTGGAAAAAATGGACGAAAATCCGACCAAAAATAGTTCTGAAAATCGATGCACTACCTTACTGTACCATTAACTCTACTTTAGGGCTGGTCTGGCCTACTGGTACGCCATAATACTAAAATACGGAAGTTGCTGGTGCAGTTGCTCTACTAGTAACCGTTTTGGCAAGTCTACAAGAATTTCCCAAAGTATTCAAACAAGAAACCGTTTCATTATTTTTATAATGGCGTGATTAGAATATATAAAAACAACACATCAATACGATGTTATGTGATGTTATTTTGGAAGCAAATATTCCTAAAAAAATAGTCAACTTGGATGTTAAATTTGAGAAAGCCATTTTCAAAGCCACACAAAAAGAGTCAATGTAAACCGACCAGCCTGAGACTCAATCCGCGTGTTCACACAAAGCATTATCTCTACATAATGACGTATCATAGAGGTCGCTTCGAGCTATATTCATTGAGATATTTACTTACAAAGTAGGTTATGTTATATCTGCCTTTTTTTGCTATTTTGAGGACTCATCACTCATGCTACAATGCGGCAATCGCCATATCTCTAGCTTTGAAAGATAGCCTGCAACTAACAGTAAGTTTGCAATATCTACATTCATTACACCGCTCGTAAACAAGCCGTCAGAGAGATATTCGACGTCAAACTCACGTACTTTCTTACATGTTAGTTAGCTAACAAGTTGATCATAAGTTATGACTAAAAACTTCAAGTCATATTGTTATAGTATTATGTTAATTGGTTTTTAAATTTTCATGGGTTCCCGGTTGTCGGGTCTTGTCGAAAGTCCTCAGCCTCTAGTGTGCCTATCAGATATGATAAGAGCCAGTGCGATAGAGCTGCTTGGTATGCTGCCAATTCATTTGAGGTTCGCTCTTTTGGTCATTTCCCGCACCCTCCAGCTGCATTTTGGAAAAATTATTTGAAGTGACTTCACCTCCATAAAAGAATGTTCTGAACTGGATGTCTGACCTTTGGGAAATACAGGAAATGAACGAAAATACTCACTGTCAGTCATCTCGCACGTCGACTAACAGAAACGTTGTGCTGCAAATGCTCACTTCATTCATGAGAGCACGAGCATGTTGGGATGCTGCAGGTACCTGTTTTCATATCACTAATATGTTGTATTGCAACGGCATTTTACCTGAGTCATAAAGTGTTTTACTTGAAGTATATTGCTACAGTACGTAGTACTATTAATAGTATAGGGCTAACGTTAGCCTAGTATATCAAATTGTATGCATATTATTTACTACTTACTACCTCCTTACGAAAATGATTGATTGATTTGAAAAAAGTTGAACTCGGAAATGATTGATCGATTTGCTTTTACGATATGATTGGATAAAATATAAGTTTATACCAATAAGAGTGAAAACATTATGTCAATTGAACAAGTTAATATCCAATCAAAACACTCAGATAATTTCTAAAATAGGGTCAGCACGATCGGTCCAGCTGAACTCTTGGTCGTCGTCGCCCTCATCGTCATCGCAGTTGTTGGCAAGACACAGGCTCTCGATTGAACTTGAGATGGCGGCAATCTCCACATCGCGAGAAACTTCGGCTGCCAAAAGCAATGCGTGCAAGTCGAAGTCGTCCTTGTTCATGAGCTCCTGGCCGTGCTCACAGTCATCCACCTCGCGTGGGCATACAATTGAATCAGGTATTGCATGCAAATACTGAATCAGTTGCATACGCCAAATATTCTTTTTTACAGTTAATGTTTGGTGTACAATACTTATTGTTTGTATGGTATAGTTTGAATATATGATTTTTCAAATCTGCCATATGTGATCAATTGCCTTGTTTGAGTACTGTGATTTGGCACCCATGGGTTTTATATTCAAGTTTGTATCAAACTTTATGCTGCGAAAAATGTAGGACGAAATGCTCTGAATTAAGCGAAATCACACAAGTTACAACTGCAAAACCCTCTGCTATCACTGATACTTTTAGAATGTAATAATTCCTAAAACTCTTTGAGATATCACAAAAAATATCAAATCAATCAATCATTTTCGTAAGGAGTAGTAGTACTGTACAGTACAGTAGCTCGTTGGACTGTGCATACCGTACTTTGTATGTTAAAGCGATCACGATGTTAGGAGCATCACGTGGTACATCCTCCATCTTTCTATATTTATCACCCAAAGTGGATATATAATGTTTTGAGGTAAATGGTCAAAAGTTTGCCTCACGGAATTAATTCCTCTCAATACAAATATATTGTAAATGAGAAGTGTCTTGGGAACATCACAGCCATCAAACAGTGCACCCAACGTGCCGCATTGCCGCAAGCGTCAAACTAGTACCGGTAGGCAGCCACACAAAAGCACAAAGTGAAAAACTGAGAGCTAGGAGCGTAAGCAAACAGGCAAATGAAAGCCCATTTGAGAGGAAGATAATTCACCAATATTCAGCAGGTGCATGAGAGGACAATGGAGAGCATGGACCGCAATAGAGCACTACACTCACTGTACATTAACGACACTATGTTGCAGCAGTGCTGTTTATGTGCTGTATCGATACTACTAAATGTGTGTGTACTACTTACTACATGTACGACTTGTGTGATGATCGAGGGGTTAAGGTACCGGTAACGTTACTATCGGTTGTGTGATGGTGGGGAGCGTGAAGATATGGCGCACAAGGTAGACTGAAGTTATCGTTGGAACTGCGTGATGCCGTCACCGCGGTCACCAAAGTAAGATGTCATGTTGTTCCCGAGAACACCGTGACGGCTCAACACAACCGCTGAGGACAGAAGACCAGGGATCATAGTCCAGGAGGCATCAGAACCTACTATAGGAATGAATCAATGATGAAGTTGCTTGTACTATACCGCTGTTGACTGGTCGCGTGCAGAGCGGCCATGGCCCTCGGCACTTGCACCTCGCCACTTGCACGTCGCTGGTGACACCAATGAAATAGCCAATATGGTCTCCTAAATTCTATAAAGACTCACCTCTATACATAACACTACCTCTAATATCAGATAATTATGTCACGAAATGCCTAAA